TGCCTCTCAGCGAGCAGGCCCCTGGTTCAAACCCCGGTCCAGGGGCCTTTCTGGGTGGAGTTTGCATGTTCTCTCCGTGCATGCGTGGGTTTTCTCCGGGTACTCCGGTTTCCTCCCACAGACCAAAAACATGCATGTTAGGCTAATTGGTAACTCTAAATTGTCCCTAGGTGTGAGTGGGAGAGTGAATGGTTGTTTGTCTCGTTTGTCTCTATGTGGCCCTGTGATGGACTTGCGACCCGTCCAGGGTGTACCCCGCCCCTCGCACAGTGATTGCTGGACATGGGCACCAGCGACCCACGTGACCCAAAATGGAATAAGCGGGTAAAGATAATGGATGGATATATATATATATAAAGGCTTTAGAAACCCTTCCCACACTCTTGCAATGTTCTAAGCTCTTTTTTTTTTGTTCTATGTCATTTTAACAACATATGTCTGTGTTGATAAAAAAAAAGAAAGAGAAAGAAACTGTCCATATGACCTGACTGAACATTGTTGGACTTTTACCTGGATTATTGAACATGGACTTTGGTGTCTTGAACCACTTTGACATGACTGTCTCAGCGGGGGGAGGGCGGGCCCCAGAGGCCATCTTAGCACCAGCAAACTGTTTTTTTTCCACTATGGAGTATGCTATTGGTGGGAATCAGTTTGTTTGGGTGGCTGGCTCCTAGGGCTGGGTGATATAATTTCATAAGCAATATAAAATGAGACTATATCAATATAAAACAATATAGTCTCATACTCTATGTAGAGTTATAATTATAATAATTCTATATTATATAGTGTTATTATTTTATATACAATAATTATATAATTATTATTATTATAATTAACAGGTCTGTCTTGTAAATGAGTCCTTGAGGCTCAATGAAACTAACCTGCATAAATAAAGGTTGAATGAATATGGATGATGGACATTTGAAAGGCCCAGCCTGCTTATTTCCTCTTCTAGTTCCAGTCAGTGGCACAGATAAATCCCACGGTCAGTGAATGTAATATAGTCTGTTTTCTCCTCCAATTGGCACCTATTAATAATTCATATTAATCTCAGGGTCAATATAGGCAGCACAAAATGTTTTCCCTGATCTTTCCTGACCCTCTTGCCATCAAATTATTTGTGCTGAAAAGATTAAATACTAAGAAGACACTGTAAATGGTAGTAAAGGGACAAAGAGTTCTTCTGTGTTTTATATGCTGTCAATGAGGATGGTCTTGCCACCTAGTGGTGTGGCATGAGCATAATTTGTTACAATGTGCTGACAAACAGAAACGTATAAACAGTGAAATATATATATATATATATATATATATATATATATATATATATATATA